CGGATTATTCTATTCGTTGTATCACCGGGTGATTTCCATGTATACAATCTTCTTTTGGGTATCTTAAAAAGTGTATTAGCTATTACAAATTCTTCCGTCTGGCAAAATTGTATCAAACGGTAACCACGTTCATTTCTAGTTCCTAGACCATAGTCCCTCACATATCCATCCATTCTTCCCTGGCCAACTTTGGCATTGAAGTTGCCCATTACTATTGTAATGTGATGTTTCTTTATTGATTTTAAGACTTATTCAAAATCTGCTGTAGGAGCATTAACTTGAATACAATTTACTATAACTTTTTTAGACTGAAGTTGCACTGATAAGATCCTATCAGAATAAGGAGTAAAACTTCTCACAGAGTAATTGACCTTTTTTTGCCTGAATAATACGTGGTTCCATTATTTGTAATTTGTTTGCCTGATCCTGGCCACTGTACGTCACTTATACTTACAACATAAATTTGGAGGTTTTCCATTTCAAGCAGTTCGTTCGCTAATTTACCACTTGCGTATAAACTTCTGACATTCCAGGTTGCTATTTTCAATGTCTTAAGCCCACAGGGATTTCTCTGGTTTACGACCTGGGAGACCCTGTGATCTACAGCTATTCCTCCCCTGTCGGATCTTGATTTCTGTGCTCCATAATCAGTAAGTTTGTTTACTCTACTTGTCATTTGCCATTCATGACTTTACTAAGAGTATTTAATGTAGTGGTTTTCCGTTGCCTTCTGCATCCTTACGCCGTTGACCTATTTTTAGATTCATCCGCCTTTAAGACCAGTTTCCCAACCCTTGGACCAAAGAGTGCCCTTCCACTTATTAACTCATCCGTCCGCAGCCGTTGGTCATTAGTGGATGATTCCTTATACCGGCAATCATTCGGTGAATTACCTGTTGGTCCACGGGAGGTATTTTATATCCCTCCACCCACCGGTAAACCGGGTCGGGCATTCCTCTATCCGCCACCTGGGGACGCGGTCTCTAGAGGTTGCAGGTTCCTCCGAGAATTTAGTTAACCGTATTTTAACTAATACGAATGTTTAATTTTCTATAGATAATAATAAATCTTGTATCTGGAATGTTTTATTTTGTTTGATAGGTTTAATAAAATACGTTAAAATAGTATTTTAAAGGAAAAAAATTAAATTATATCATAAAGGCAACAAAACTTGCAATCCACAAGACAATATACGCAAAAAGACCGTAGTATTTACTATTTGGATGGGACTTGGGTAAGGATTGGGTTAGGAATTAAAATAAAAAGGCATGCGTTACTGATGAAATTTAATCAGAAATGGGAAAGCGACGAAGAAATTAATGATCTGGAAGGTTTGTTTGCTGATAAGACTAAAATGGAACGATACAAAAATTGGGAAATTAAACAGCAGAGATAAAAAATAACCTACTAGAAAAACCAAAATAATTTAACTAAAAGGATAATGGACCAAATGAATAAAAAAAAAACAAAAAAAAGATAGATCAAGGAAAAATGGTTAGCTAAAATAAAATAAAATGGACAAAAAAGAAAACGTGAATACAGACTAAAAAACTGGAAGAAATGGATAAATAATAAATAATTACCGGAAGAGTTTAGTTTATTTACACATAGTTAGTAATATTCCCTTTAACGAATAATATGTGATATTATAATTCCCCATTTATATTAGCCGTAATAATATTATAAGCAAACTAAACAATGTTATTTTATTTTATTTTGTTACTGTTTTAAATACATTAAATACAAAAGAGGCGGTACTAAAGGTGTCATCCCACCGCACTGTACTAGTATTCTAATTAGTTGGTTTAAAGAAAGATGAACTTTTTCGTACTAATTGAATTTTAAGTACTTCCTTTTTATTTTACGATTCGTCAAAATCTATAAGAACCGTCCTATAATTTCCGCCAATAATGTGAAGAATGATTCACCAAGAACGTATTGGATATGCGTTTGGAAAGTTTCTATATTTGAAACTTATAGACAAAAATAAAGCATCATTTTTTAAGTCATTTTGCACCTAGTTTAAAAACACATTTTCGTATGTAGTTTATCACGTAGAATTTGAAATAAATTTTAGAAATCTCCTATCATGTAGGGTTTTTAGAGATATTTAAAAATTTAGATATCTTGAAAACATACAATTTTCTTATATATTTCCTATTTTTTATTGATGGCAAAATATTCATAAAATTAAAATTGATAACTGAGCAAGGTTTAGTCATTCTTTTAATGTAAAATTAAAAATTTTCAAGCTAAGTTATTTAAACCTTTAGTTTCCTTTTCTTTAGTAAACCTTTCTTTAATAGAGATTCTTTCCTATACAGAAAACTGCAAGCGGGTGTGAAGTAATACTGTATTGATTGTATATTGGCTAAAGTTTGCAGGAGATAATGCTAATAGAAAAGTTATCCACAGGTCCACCATTTTTTCTGACCACAATAAGGAACAGATATTCCTTAAGGTTATAACAATTATATTGAAATGATGGCGTCTGGACTGGTATGTCAACCACCAATGCTTGACAAGCGTATATAGAAGGCCTATCTACAGGACTGAAACATCCTTCTGAAAAAAATAAACGGTTTATTGTTTTACATGTTGGATCTAAAGATGAGTTTGTGCAAAATGAGCAAAGTTAAATAATATTACATCAAATTTCTGGAAAAGGCCGTTAACTATGTACATAGCATTAAATTTTTAAGATGTGGGAATTAGACTTTGTTGTGAAACAGTTAGAACCCCTGATTAGTAATTTAGGTGACAACGAATCTTCTTCCGGAAACACTTATAGTCATTAATTAACAATAAAGGTTACCACTTTTTTTCATACTTTTGTATCAGGTTGAATTTCTTTATGACGTGCCTGTATTTTTATGTAATACCCTTAATTTAATAATATAGAGTTTAAAATACCCTTAAACTTAAAAGACCTTTTAAGTAGTAAATTATGTTTGAGGCTATAGTATTCTATAAATGAATAAGTTTTCTTTTAAAGCACTCCACTAAAGTATTAATTATACACAACCCCTGTTAAAATTCTGTTGATGTTTAGTTCAAAACGTTCTAAAGCGTATTATTTCTCATGGGAATAAATATTTCGAATAAAAGATCACATCTCCTTCCTAAGAATTAATTTGCTTAGGCCTAATTTATAAAAATCCACTATCGGATTTGAATTCTCAGTTTCCACTTAATATTTGTATTAATATGCATTCAGACGTTCATATTTGTAGTTTAGTTCCAATCAAGAAAACTCACAATTTTGTTAGTCCGACTATCAACTCACTTGTTGCCGCTAGTATTCACGTACAAACTCCTTCTGTAATGTCGAGGCCAACCGCCCTATCAATATTTTTGCCGAAAAGGTCCTGTTTTTGTCCAGGCCTATAGCCATATTTATTCGGTGGCCATATCTTCAACGGTCAACAAGCTATTGTGAGTGAAATATTTTACAATGGTAATGTTTTTTTCTTTCTAACAAAAAGAGAAATCATACGATTTCTACCTGGCGAAATCGAATTCAAATATAAGCCACCGTGCTTCCTAAAACTTGCGAAGCACACAGCTTGATGAATAAATCGGCAAGGGAATCTAAGATTGCACTCCAAATGCCGTTCATCATGGCCAATATTCGTAGTGAATTCGATTTCTGGTACTCCAAACGAAGTAAAAAATACCGTCATTGTATTTTTTTTCTGTTAGAAACAGTAACTTTTATCATTTTTTGTTAAAAGTTTATTTATATATAACGTTAATTTAAGTAAAACGGAACAGTGACCAATAATATTTGTTTAGATTGCAATTAAATATTCATTTGATTTTTATTTTTTTTTTTTTGTTATGAGATATTAAAATTTTGATTATAGAATTTCCGTCCACTATCTGTTTTTTATTAATATGTGTTTATTAATAAAAAAATTGAGTATTTTGAGTTATATTAAACAATGTTTATTGTTTGTTTCTTTACAATTAATGTTTGAAAGTTTAAACATGTAAAACAAATAAACAATTTTTTTCTATTGATGTATTATTTTATTTTTGTTTAGAGACAATACAAATTTATTTAAATTTTGTTGTAAAAGATAATATAATAATTCTTCTAAAGTATTTTATTAAATATATAACCTTTTCTTACAGCTTATAATTTTTATATGATGTTTAATAATGTTTTCTGACGTATGTTTCTCTGATGTTTTTAAGATAAATGTTTGTTTAGTTTATTTATTTTTTAGATCCTTCATAAGTTTCAGGTTAAAACTTATTGGCTCCCATTTTGTTTTACAATTTGGCTGTAATCCGTATTTCTTGTTTTTCTTTTTCAAGTCGTGATACTTTCTTATCTATTTATTATCTATCGGTTAGGTATCTGTTTTTGATCTGCAGTTTTTAACGTCTATATCCCCAATAAAGCTGCCTGACTTGAGCAACGTATTCTTCGATAAGTATTGTGCACGAAAAGCTTTTTAGTATCAACTTTTATAAACTTTTTCGCGACACTTATATGAAAGCTTATCCGCTTTCTACAGACTATTTATTTGTTTTGGCATATCACAATCACAATACACAACAATAATTAGTTGTTAAAGCTATTACTCTAAATTTAATATATATTTATAAATACAATTTATTAATATATATTATATTATGGCCAAATTGTGTAAGAAATCTAAACATAAACAAAATTCGTACTCTAAAAAGCGGCAACACTTTATACACTTTTGCCACCCGCTTAACTGTCAATAAAATTTGAAGTATTGCCGTATCAGTTGCGTACAATTGTCTAATATATTTAATTAAAATTATTATTTTGTGGACGATTAGACTTAAAGCTTTATTTCATAAAATTTATATTATTAATAATAACAAATGTTTTTGGTTATTTAATCAATATAATTCTAAAATTTCCAATATAATGCTGATTACTTTTTCTGATTATTACACCATGTTGATGCCTATGAAAAATCGGCCAATTCCGTATGGGTTTCGTATTATTAGCTGTTTTAGGAACATTTGAACTCTAAGGTTGATGTTCTCGAAATTTTAAATTCAAGTGACGTCACTTTGTATAAATCGTGAAGCGCAAGTGTTTTACTTTGAAAAAGGGTATATAGTAGTTTGAGATGAAAAATGGCAATAAGTGTACTAAATCTATTTCTATTTACGTTTATAGTTGCAACACATTCAAAATAAAAACCAGGCATTTAAGTTAAATTATATTTTATTGATTATTTATTACAATAAACACTTTTAACCTTTTGCAAATGGGGATTGGCTGTTGGTTTTGAGGTAGTAGGAACCAACGGCACTGAAACAAATAAAAATAAGTAAATAATAAATTATTATGTATCATTTAAAAAGTATTTACAAACAGATATAAGCTAATGTCATTCCTTAAATTCAATTTATAGAAATTAATATTACCCGTCGGACATTTATAAAAATATAGGGCAGTTACGTTATTCTTCATTGTCATGTTTTATTTGATCTATTTTTGTACGTAGTTTCTCTCGTTCTTTTTTTCAGTTAAAATTAGCGAAGAGCATCAAGAGCTAACTTCAGCAAATGTGAAAATTCATTTGATACTTAACAAGCTTGGTTTCGATATGGTTATAATAAATAGAACTTCTTCGTTCTGCGTAATTTGCGAAGAGTTAAACAGAGTTAAACAAGTAAAAGGGAATTCATTGAAATATTATAAAACTGCATCTATGTGATTTGACGATTTAACCAAAACGTTTGACCGACTTCAAATACAAGATTTAATACATCTAATATAGAACAAAATTATACCAGTAGACATTATTAAAATAGTGAAAACCATATACAAGTACAACAGAAACGCAAGTTGCTACTTCCGAAAATAACGTGTAAATTAAAACAACCGAGAGAAAGAAATGTGATAACCAAGAAACAAGCTGGGGAACTAACATCAAGAAGGCAATGAAAGATCTTTGGTGTATTAGAAAAGTAAAAGAAATATTGGTTTACATCAGCAACTCTTATATGATTATTTTCTGAAGTGCTCACATTCTCTTTACAGCCTTTAGAAGACTTGAAGTATCCCAACCAACGAATTATTTTGATCGTATCCAGCTGAGTTTATTTTCCTTTCTACTTCTCACAAATTTAGTTTTGGAAGTTTTCCGTCCTATTCAATTTTTTTCTCCGTCCAACGTTTTTCTTTATTTTTTTTGTCCTGACTCCATATATTCAATGCATTTTTTGTTTTTCTTGTGCATCATCCAATCTTATCTTCTACGAGTAATGAATTCTGGGTAATAATTTTTAATTAAACACTGTTTATTTTTATCCCTCAATCATTTTTGATCTTGAATATCCACATTCCTTTATTGTTAATGTATTCATTTTCCTTTTTTTCCTCTTCATTTCCACATACTTATTTTAATTTTAGTCAATTGATATTATAAAATCTATCTTATAGGTAAAATTAGCAATGTATACAGGTACTTACTTTTTATCAATTTTGAACATTCCCATGCTAGCTTTTGGTCCGGTACATTTACCCTTCTCATAGTCCGAATAGCTATTGCATTGCTGCCCAACAAAGCCTGTAGTAGTCAATGATTCGGCGTATATTTGGTATGACCTAGAATGAGCGCAATTGCCACCTAAATCAAGTCCACAACCTGGTTGTGATTTTCCTCCATTAGGATAGAAGTCAGCATCTCCACACGGAGCATAATATCCCATCTTTCCTCCATTCGTGTGAATAATTTGAACATGCTTTGCATCATCAGCGTCTAAACGGTTGTCTGTGTTGTAGTCTTTGAATAGGGGACCAGCTGGATCTAAACCTGAAAAAAGATTTAAAAAGTTAATTTTTGTCTAAGTTGAATTTTGTTTAATATATTGCTTTGCAAAAAACCTGTACACTTTCAAATAATTTAAACCGTCAATGCTATTAATGTTTAAATAAAATTTTAGTTGTGAAAATAATAATCCACTAGAATTAAATAAATAAAGCAAGTCAGGAAAAGGAATAACGTGGTTTAAATTAGTCGCTATGAAAGTTATCCTAGTGTAGGTTCTACTTCTGAAGTCCGAAACCAACTATTAAAATTAATAAGAAAAAAGTATATGAACCTCAACAAGGACCAGAGACAACCATATTTATGTGCAAGTCAAATGTTAGGTTAGGTTAGGTTAGGTTAGGTAGTACCTCGAAGCCATAGACATATAATACAAGATAAACTGACCGTTGCAATATTAGACCGTTCCCCTAGTGCGACAGAGAAAACTAAAGTAGAATTGCATCTCATTCTAAGTTATCAGGTGACCTAAACGACCAATAAGAAAGTCACGTGGTCGATAAAACCAGCTTATTAGACAGAGATGTAGAGACTGCTTTGTCAGTTTTTTCTGTTTTACTAGGAGAACACGACTTGATTTCAGATGTCAGTCTATTTTGTATTATCTGTCTATGTCCGAACCAAAAAAGTCAGATATATAGATGTGCTATATATATAAAGTTATTCTTTAAAGTAATCGTGTTAAAAGTTCTAGGAAGATAAAATACTTCTTTATATATAATCTACAATCATAAAGTATAAAACGGAAAAATAAATGTACTTGTTCAGAAGTTTTCCATAAAAGCTAAAGACATAATATTCAAGATAATCCATACTTTTTACACACTATCACCATTGAACATGGAAGTGTCACAATTTTAAAACTGTGCTACAAAATCGTATAAAAATCTAGTAATATACTAATTAAAAAAAAAACAACTTTAAAATATGTTACTTGCTATACAGGGTGAGTCATAACTATTGGGACATAGACTAAGGACAGGTTATTTGGACCAAAATATGGCTATTGGCCCAAATATGCCTTAATAAAATGTTGCTGGGAAAAAAGATACAGGGTGTTAAAGTTAATTTTTGTTTTTCGTTTTTTGCTAATAGTTTCCCTATAATAATATATTTATAAATTGCTATCAAAATTGGCACAGACGCATAATCTTAGACAAGAAATAGTATTTTATTTACAATTTTACGTTTTGTCATAGAGGGCGCCACGTGGATCATTCCTAATGATCAAATTGAGTCTAAACTTTTCCTGATGAAACTTTTTAGTAATTTTTATTAAAAAATATGACGTAAACATCATTTTTACATAAAATTGGTACTCTTGTTTAAACATGATAATTTCAAACGTTTTCGATAAAAACGCAGTCGAACTGCTTAGAGTCTTACAAAAGGATTTCAAATATTATTTCATTTATGAAAAGTATGCTTTGGACTGTCAGATAATTGTTGTTGGTAAATGTCATTTGTTCAGAGTAAATTATTTTTGATGTGACAGTGTAGTGTAATGTTGCATTTTTTAAAAGTAATCATTACTTTTTTTGATTGAAATGGCTCGTCACAATCATTTTACTAATGAAGAAATGCCAGATATGATTTGCGTATACGCACAAGAAAATTTTTGCAGTCTCTCGGCAGCCAGAAGGTATGGAATGTTATACGCAAACAGAAGGCAACCAAATCAGAAAACTTTTGCAAGATTATATCGTACTTTAGGTGAAACTGGGTAATTTCACACTGTGAAACTGGGAAAATAGGGGTGGTCGACCGAAACAAATCACACCTAATCAAGAAGATGAACTTTTGGTTAGAGTAGATGAAAATCCTGAAATAAGTTCACGACATCTATCAGCAGCAACAGAAGTAAGTCAGTCGTCTATTGTTAGAATTCTAAAAAAAGAGAACCTCCATCCTTATCACTTCACTCCTGTTCAAAATTTACTTCCAACAGATCTTCCACGACGGTTACAGTTTTACCAACGTATTCTGAATAAACATCGCAATGACAGACACTTTATTAAGAATATTATGTTCACCGACGAAGCAACTTTTACCAGACGAGGGGTTTTTAATTGGCGAAATAGTCATTATTGGGAAGAAGAAAACCCGCATGCTATTAAAGCTAGACATTTTCAGCATGAGTTTAAATTAAATATTTGGTGTGGCATTATAGGCGACCAACTACTAGGACCTTATGTTCTTCCTCCGAATTTAAATGGAGATTCTTATTTATTATTTTTGGAAAATACTCTTAGTGATATTTTAGATGATCTGTCACTGGATGTAAGAAGAAAAATGTGGTTTATGCAGGATGGAGCGCCACCTCATTTTTCATTAGCAGTTAGAAATCATCTTAATGACGTATTTTCTCAACGATGGATTGGCAGAGGCAGTGATTTTCAATGGCCACCAAGAAGTCCTGAGTACAACCCGCTAGATTTTTATTTTTGGGGACATATGAAGTCCTTAGTTTATGCCAATGAAATTAATACACGAGACGAACTTTGGAGATACATTCAAAATGGAGCTAATCTTATAAGGGGACAGAATAATTTTTTTAACGTCCGAAAATCCTTTATAAAAAGAATTAGAAAAGGCTTAGAAATTGGAGGAGACCATGTAGAACATTTTGTTTGAGTTTTTGTGAGTTCTTTTAAGTTAAAGTGTGTTTAGTTTTGATTTATCGTCAAAACGGAAACCTTACTTTAGTTGCAACTTTGTGTATTAGTTTGGTATTTGATAGTGGAATTGTAAATAAAATACTATTTCTTGTCTAAGATCTCTGTGCCAATTTTGATACCAATTTATAAATACACAGGGAAACTATTAGCAAAAAACGAAAAACAAAAATTAACTTTAACACTTTGTATCTTTTTTCTCAGCATTATTTTATTAGGGCATATTTGGCCCAATAGCCATATTTTGGTCCAAATAACCTGTCCTTAGTCTATGTCCCAATAGTTATGACTCACCCTGTATGATAATGTTTAACCCTTTGACTCATGACGACTACAATTGTAGACCAATTTTCCATTATCCACCAGCCACCTTACACACAATTCGCTACGTTTGATATCGTATGTATCTACAGACATTGTATAATAAATATTGCCCAGTTTATAGTGACTTATAGCACACAGAAGCAATAACTTATACCACCTGTTTACATAGTGGTTACTGCGGTACCCGGTCTATTCAGGTAAGCTCTCGTTATTTCATAATTATATCAAACATTGTTGGTCATCTAGCCAATTTTATGTTTTTATTTGGAAGACCAGTATTATATTACTAGATGTACTTATATGAAAATTTTCGTCAGATATTTCTTGTAGTCACTATAACAAGTCCCTAAATGCGGTGGCTTCAATTGTGAACAATTATATGAAATGAAAGTTTTATTTTTTTAAGATATATTAAATAGTGTCTAGGAGCAAATTTTTATCAAAAAAATAATTTCTTGAACAGCTAGAAAAGGGTCTTTCTGATACAGAAGGTCTTGAAAGTGATTGTAGTGATGAATATAGTATAATTCTAAAAAAAATTTGAGATTCTTTACCTTATGATATGAAGAATATACTTAAACAATCAGACGCACTCCAAGTTGTTATCGAAGAGATAATTATTCATGATGAACTGATGTAAGGCCTCTAAAAACTGTACAATTAAACAGTACGAGTATAAACCATATATCTGAGCACACTGGGATCTCCCTTCCTGGACGATGCAACCAGATGGACTTGCACTAAATGTAAGGTGCATTTGTGCCTTTATAAAGATTGCAAATGTTTTGTGAATTTCCATGAAAACTAAGTTACTTTCATTTTATATTTCTTACTTACATTTTGTTTAAATTTTTACTTTAAGTTTAAGTTTTTTACTTTTGTTTAAGTTTTTATTTTTCAATGTCTTAGTTTTTTATGTTTTAAGTATCATATTTCACCAATATATTATCAAAAAAATATTTTTTTCTATGGAAACTTGTGAGTCAAATGGTTAAAATAATTTTACGAAATGACATCCGTATGCCATTTTTCCTCGCCTATGCCATCCTAGCTAAATTATAATAAAAACAGTGTATTTGTATGTTTAGAGAATGGTTGAAAATATGAGAATAATGTCTAAACATGTATATAATATATTCTTACCAACAATTCTGTCCACCTGGCCATTCAAAGCTGCTCCAGCTGTTCCACAGATATGAGCACCTAGAGAATGACCTACAAATTTCAACTTATCAAGTCGTAGATTATATTCTTCGTTCAAAGATCTAGCGAAATCTGCTACATATCCTCCAACTTTTTGCATAGATCCCTAAAAAAATTAAGATGTTATAAATTTACGTTATTATCAAAACAATTTTAGCAAAATCATTGTTAACGTTTTTAATAAATTCTTCTATAATACTTTATGAATTACATATTTTATTTTTTGAGTCTAAATATTAAAACTTCATAATAGTCATTATATTCTTTAATTGGTTTTAATTCGTATGTGATAGAACTACCAATAATAACATACTGGCGTTAAAAAAGAGACAGCACAACAATTTAGTAAACATTTACTAATATAGGGGACCAAAGTTGTATACTGATCTATTGAAAAATGTATTGCATTCTGATACACCGCGATTTTTTTAAATTAAAGACTTAAATTTTTCTTCTTCGCGTGCCATATCCGAATTATTCGACGTCGGCGATCACCATTACGAAGGCTTCTCGATCTTCTGCAATATGGAAGAATTGCCCTGCATTTGGTATCTAATTTCCATTCACGAATGTTTTTTAACCAAGAAACTTGTTTTCTTTCTACACCTCTACGGCTCTCTATTTTGCCTTCCATGCTGTTCCAGGCTTTAGTTTAGGGATCAGCTGTAAAATTTTATATCGACTTCCCCTTACTATATGTCCCAGAGAAGACATTCTTCGATGTTTAACAGTCTTTAGCAGTTCTCTATCTTTGTTAACACTCCTTAGTACTTCTTTATTAGTTTTTCTTGCCGTCCAAGGTATCTTCAGCATTCGTCTTCTTCTTCTTCTTCTTTAAGTTCCATCTTCTATCGAAGGTTGGAAATCATCATGTCTATGCGGACTCTGTTGACTGCCGCTCTAAAAAGTTCTGCACTACTGCATTCAAACCATTCCTTTAAGTTCTTAAGCCAGGATATTCTTCGTCTTCCCACATTTCGCTTTCCTTGGATTTTGCCCTGCATAATAAGTTGTAATAATGCGTATTTTTGCCCTCTCATCACATGTCCCAAGTACTCAAGTTTTCGTCTTTTATTAGTTAATAATATTTCCGCCTCATTTCCTATCCTTCTAGTTACTTCCATGTTTGACATTCTTTGAATCCATGATATTCGTAGGATTCTTCTGTAACACCAAAATTCAAAGGCGGCCAGCTTATTCAGATGAACTTGTTTGAGTGTCCAAGCTTCCAGACCATAAAGAAGAGTAGAGAACACGTAACATCGAAGCATTCTCAGGCGTAGTTCTAACTTCTAACTAATTCGTCTATGAACCCACATTTCCAACGCTTCGATTTTGTTCATGATCGATACAGAGAAGAGGAATACTCAGAACAAGGTTTATTGATATCATCGAAGAAGACATGAGAAATATGGAAATGCATCATCATCATTTAGCCTTAAGAGTCCACTGCTAAACATAGGCCTCTTCCTCATATTTCCAACCCCGTCTATGTTGCGCCTCTCTTATCCAGTTTTTATTGAGTCTTCTTAAATCGTCAGTCCATCTTGTAGGTGGTCGATCAACGCTTCTCTTGTCTTCCCTTGACCTCCATTCCAATAACCTCTTTGTCCATCTGGCTATGTGTCCTGCCCATCTCTATTTTAGTCTGACTATCTTCTCGATGATGTCAGTCACTCCGGTTCTTCTCCTGATGTCTTCGTTTATTCGTTATTCTGTCTCGGAGAGTTATTCCTAACATGGACCGCTCCATTCTTCTCTGCGTGACTCTCAGTTTAGTAGCTGCTGCTTTTGTTAAGGTAAGTGTTTCTGCTCCGTACGTCAAGACTGGGAGGACGCACTGATCAAATACCTTTCTCTTTAGGCATGTGGGCAGCTCACTTTTAAAAGTTTCTCTTAGTTTTCCAAATGCTGCCCACCCAAGGCCGCCTCTTCTCTTCAGTTCATGAGTCTGGTTATCTCTGCCAATCATAATTTCATGTCCCAGGTATTTATATCTATCTACAAGTTCTATTTCTTTCCCACCAATACTGATGTTCTGGTTGGGCACCAAATTGGTCATGATTTTTGTTTTCGAGATATTTATATTTAAACCTAGCCACAACGAGTTCCTGTACCATCTCTCTTGCCATACCTAGATCTTCAGCTATTATAAGTATATCATCGGCGAAACGTAAGTTGTTTAGATATTCTTCATCTATTTTTATTCCCTTTGTCATCAAATCCAAATTCTTAAAAGCATGTTCTAGCACCGTAATAAAAAGTTTAGGTGACATTGGGTCTTCTTGTCTAACCCCCCGTTCTATTTTTATGCGATTACTGTTAGTATGTAATTTGACAGTGGTTGTTGCCTGCAGGTATATTTTGTATAATAGTTTGGTATATCTATAATCTAGCCTGCATTCTTTAAGCGCCTGTAATATTTTGCTTAGCTCAACTGTGTCAAAGGCTTTGTGAAAATCGATAAATATTAGAACTAGAGGTTTATTGTATTCCACTGCTTTCTCTATTAGTGTTTTTATACTTTGTAGATGGTCATTTGTTCCGTAACTTGTTCGGAATCCTGCCTGTTCCCTTGGTTGATAAGTCTCTAATTTTCTTTCCATTCTCTTAACTAGTATTCGCGTAAACAACTTATATATATGGCTGAGGAGGCTAATCGGTCTGTAATTCTCTAAATTTGCTTTGTCTCCTGCTTTGTGTAATAGAATCATAGTAGCGTTGTTCAAGTCTGTTGGAATATTGGCGCTGTGAAGGCAGATATTGAAAAGTTGTTTAATTTTTTCAAGTAATACATCCCCTCCAATTTTTATTGCTTCTGATACTATTCCATCTTTACCCAAGGTTCGATTATTTTTCATTTTCTTCAGGGCTTCTTTGATTTCTGATTTTGTTATATTGGGCATTAAATCCGATCCTTGGTTTAATACCCCAGTTTTTAGTATAATTGGAGGTTCCGTATTGTTATCTTTTTTTCTTGATCTATATAACTCTGTGTAGAACTCTTCGACTATTCTTAATATTTCATCTCTGTTCGTTGTTTCTTCTCCAGTTCTGTTTCTCAGTTTGTTAATTTCTATTTTCCCCTTTTGTACGCTCCTCTTCAAAACTTTCATGTTCTTATTTTTCTCTATTGCCTGTTTTGTTTTTTCTATATTGTAATTTCTTATGTCTTTTCTTATTGCCTTTGTGATCGTCTTATTTATTTGATTTATCGCTTCTTTGCTTGCAGTGTTATTTCCTTTCAACCCTACAAGGGTTTTCGTGGGTTGACTCAGTTTTTCATCTTTTTTGCTTGTCGGACAATATTTAGTTTGAGCCTGTTGCATTGTGTTGACTATTTGTTTGTTCAATATATTGATGTCAGCTGTTGTTGTATCTTTCCATGAATTCCCAATATATTTTTCGTACTTCTGAATGTTAGGCTGGGAATGCATACTTGGCGAAGAAAGGCGATGGATATGGACGACTGGGGAGAAATTCTTGAGGAGGCTAGAACACACGTAGGGTTGCAAAGCCATAATGATAATGATGATGAAACAAGACAACTAATATGGTATCTGTACGTAAAGGGAATTGGAATGATAGATCCCCATCGAAAAAAGCCATTAATTATGAATCTACTCAAAAAAAAGAAGCGAAAAAGACCAGCAGGAAGATAGATCAGAGAAATAAAAGTAACAATGGAAGATAGAGCTATCCAAGAAGAAACATTGCGAAATATATGTATCAATATTTAATTTTAATTATACGATAATATCTTTAATTTCTGAATGTGTATATAAATGCGATTAAAAGTGACGAACAAATGTCAGATACCAAAAGTTACATGTCACCTAGATTAGCTTTAAGTACTTTTTTTAACTTTTTTATCACTACTCCAATTCTTTTTTGTGAAGTACCAATTAAAAATATATTTACCAATATACCGTTGTCAATATTTGATTACGTCAGTTGTGGGTTACGCCATACCTTGAGCAGGTTATGACATTTTTAATTATTTATTTTTTGATAAGAGAAACCATACAATTTCCTTCCTGGCGAAACAGAATTCAAATTTTTACCACTGTGCCTTCTACAACTTGCAAAGCAAACAGCTTGATGAATTACTCGGAAAGGTAATCTAAAATATGCGTTTCACCTGCCGTTCATTATGGTCAAAATTCGTAGTGAATTCAGTTTCTGGTACTCAAGTAGGAAATTGTATGATTTATATTGTTGTTATTAGATGGCGTTGTTACGTCTGTAAATAGTTATTTCGATAATTATTGGCATACGACGGGATAGATTTTGTTTCAATTCAGAGCAGTGGCATATACCGCTCTGATGAGACCAAAAGAGGTCGACATACATATAAGCGGATTGCTGCTGCCCTGAATCGAAGCAAAAAATCTAATACCGTCACAATGTCATATTAATTTTTGTTTACCTGTGCCGTTATGTAACCTTTTCCAGCAATTGGACTCCAATCGACGACAAAGATATTGACATCGTGGTCCCTGAGTATATATTCTCTAACATGAGAATTTACATCTGCCTCATGGCTATCCTTCCATCCATGTACGACAAAAATAGTTTCTCTATTTGCTGTAAATGATGTCGTTTCCAATTTCTCGATGTTGTTGCTGTGAATCTCCACTCCTTCTTCAGGGTTGGATTTGCTGAAGAAATAGTATTTTACATCGGATGAAGACGATGTGAGGTTTGGTCGGGTGTTTAGGAGACGCTCTACTTGAAGTTGGCCGTTTTTATCCTCGTACAAGAAGTATTCTAGATCTTCGGAGTGTTCATCGTCACCAGTTACTGTAAAAATGGTTCAAGTAATATTTTTTTACATAAGTACACTGGTTTCTTTAAATAAAAATCAGAATAGTTTAGGATCCATCTAGATTATCGTGGGATTTTTAATTCTCTTGGGTATGTCCAAGTTTTGTTAATATATTTTTGGCTGCTGATTAAGACTTTTGAGGGTGGACTTCGGACGAAGCAATTGTTATGAACAATTTAATGATTTATAAGGTTTTAGTTCGTAAAGTAAAAAAAAATTATCAAATAGAATTTGTTTCTTGAATAGAAAAATAAAGAAAATGGAGTTTACTAACCTTTACTCCAAAAATACTAACTAAGAATATTGTAAAATTAGTTCAAAATGCACATAAGCATTTTTCGAAGCTTTTTCCATTGTCACTCGGCTTCTACACATGCAAATGAGCTTTACAAAGTCTCATTTTAAAGCTTATTTTATAGGCTTTGTAACAAATTTTTTAACTTTAAACGGGTATAACTTTATTATAAATAAGATTAAAATCATTCAACAAATTTTGTTTAAAAGTATTTAAATTAAGAGTAAAAATGAAACTTTGTAAAGCTCATTTCAATGCGAAAACGACGACCAAAAAAGCTTCAAAATACTGATTTGGTACTAACTTAAAAATAATTTAATTTCTAATTATTGGACTAAAGTTTAGTAAACGCCATTTTCTTTTTGTTTAAAAAAAAATTAAACAAGAAAGTTTTTAATCAAAGTTTTTTTGTTTATTTAAGTTTACGAGCTGGAGCCTTATAAAAAATTATATAGTTTAGAACAACTTTTCTACCACTCGAACTAAAATCCACCCTCTGAATTCGTAATCAGCAGCCAAACATACATAAAAAAAACTTGAGTGGACCAATCGTAATTGAAAAGGCTACGGTGATCTAGCTGGCTCCTAGACTAAAATATGTTAAGAAACCGTAAAGTAAGTACAGAATAATTTTTATTGATAATAACAAACGAAGAAAGATTACTGGTAACACATTTGGAGATAACCAACTAAAAAGAACAACGAATGTAAAGAATATATAATGGAAAGCGTGTAAAAACATTATACAAGACGCGGACAAAGAGACCATGGGTCTACAAAAAAAGCTCAAATCAACTGAAGGACAGTGGTTCGATCAAGAGTGTCATAACCTTAACAGAGATGAAAAATAATGCATATCAACGACTACAACAACGACATAGAACACGAAAGGCAGAAGAGGAATATAGAATGCTAAGGAGGGAAGAGAAGAAAATACATCGCAGAAAAAAAAGAGAACACATTGAAAAATAAATTCAAGAAATGAAAAAACAAAATAAACCATCAGAAACCAGAAAATTCTACCAAAAATATCCATTATATGATGGAATTATGCTGGATTAAACAGATACCAGAGAAACAACCCCCCCCTTTCCCCTTCAGTAGCTATAATGCAAGAAGCCGTTACCAGACTGAAAAACAACAAGTCACTTGAATTAGACAACATTAGCACATAATTAATAAAGGATAGCGGAGACTCCCTATTTAATGCTATACATGAACCAATAGTGAACATATGGAATAATAAACAACTGCCATAAGACTGGAATACCGGAGTAATTATCCCACTACATAAAAAGAGAGATCAGCTTCAATGTAAAAACTACTGGGCAATAACGCTAGTAACTGTGGCATATAAAATACTGTCAAATATTGTGTATGACCGATTGAGACCATATGCGGAACAGATATTAATGTGGTTTCTGCAGGCTGAAACCACGTTGATATCAGATCTTCGTCTTGAGGCAAATCTTAAAAACGACTAGTGAATTTAATATAGACACACATCATCTTTTCATTGATTTTGAGAGTATCTATGATAGCATCCATCAAAAATTACTGATTCATGTACTGAAAGAGTTTAATATTTCATCTCAACTCATTGATATAGTAAAATAAACACTTGAAGTACAAAGCAAAATTCGAATTCAAAACGCACTAACAGATACAATCTGTTACCGGATCTGACAATAGAAGACTATAACATCTAAAGCGTGAAAATTTTTATATATCTAGGTTCACTAGTTACCGCAGATAACAATGTCAGTGAAGAAGTTAAGAGAAGTATATATTTCGTTAATAAAGCTAATAAAACATATAATGGACTAACTAAACAACTAAGATGTAACAATATCACAAGAAAAACCAAATGCAAAATATACAAAACCATAATAAAACCGGTCCTTGTATATGGATCAGAGACGTGGACAAGTGTAGAAAAGCGATGAGAACCTATAAGGTACGTTTGAATAAAAAATCCTTTGACACATAAAGGGGGTGAAAGAAAATGACATACGGCGCAGAAGATATAATTTTGAACTATACACAGCATACAATGAACCCGAGGTCATAACATCCATAAAGATCGGACGCCTGCGCTGGATGGGCCATATTAAACGGATGTTGCAGACTAAAAAACCAAAACATATAATGAAGCAAACACCAGTAGGGAGAAGGTCAAAGGGACGACCTAAACTTAGATATATGGAACTAGTGGAACAAGAACACTTAAGATTACCATCTGGAAAAACAAAACAAGGAACAGAACAGAATGACGGTAAATCTTAGAACAAGCCAGGCCCAGAAAGGGTTGTCGAGCTACTGATGATGATGATGAACTAAAGAAGAACATGACAGATTTAGTCATTTGGCCAGATTTTGTAAAAGCCTCTATTTTTATCATAAAAAAATAACCTTATATTTTCCATATAAAAATATTAAATGAATAAGAAATAAAATTAATAACTTACATAAATGGCACGCTCCTAGCAGCAATAAACTGATATAAATCTTGCAATACTTCATTTTGATCGGTAGTGATGATTGCAGAACACCCGCAGTGGTTTATATATGATTTTTATCGTAAAACTAATCCTATTGTTCTTCTAAAAATGTGTTTACTAAATACAAATCTACGTAAGTGGTGATCGAAAATGTAAACGATGAGTATTAGATTATCTTTTCAATGAAAAAGCTCAATGCAAATTATTTGATAATCCACAATATCCCTTGTATTACAGAGGTTGTTGAATAGTGGCGTGTTTTCTTCAAATTATTACCTAATAAGTCGCGTCGCAAATCATCAAAGGAATTAGGTGGTAATAAATCAAACTTAGTTTCAAACACGTTTTAAAATGAATATTTATACTAAATATGATGGTGTTCTTAATTGTTGTTCTTCTTGATGTTCCTCTTCTATGAGAGATTGAAAATCATCAAGACTGACTTTACCTAATTTACCGATATATTTACTGTTCCATTTTTCTTTGGACTATTCTTTTTCTCTCAGATTTTGCTTTGTATTATACTAAGAAGTATGTATAGGATGTATTATTAACATATTTGTCATTTTATCAGCAGATCTTATCTTTGTTATTTAACAGATGTGTAATATTTCAAAAATTTCATTATTTTTATCCACATAATAAGTGGTTTGTTTTTCATCCCAATTTTTCGTTTTTCGGTTGAATTGAATTTATTTTAATTACATAGTTTGGAGAGTATCACATATTTTATTTGATATTCTTTTCTTCGATACCGTTAACCTTAGAGAATATCATACTTTATCCAAAGAGCACTAATTTGTTCCAAATATCTTTATTTCTTGTTTAATGACGAGAAAAACTTGCTCAAGAAAACAAGAAACTGACAACACAACATTTTGACATAAACAAAACTATAAAGAAAAAAATAATAACAACAAGAACAACCAGAAAAAATAGTTTAACAAAACAAAATATGAAGTGCGGCACAAACTAAGAAAAATACAAATCTTCGTCTTCTTCGTATGCTGGGCGTTAAAGGCCTGTTATTTTCGGTTTAATTTAACAGTATTTGCGATGTTGCGTACCAGCTATCTCTGTATATATTGGGGATCTGCCTTGTGGTCTTTTACCTTGGTTTTCTATCTTGTACTCTTCGGGCAAGTCTCTCCCTTCCCATTCTGTTAATGTATTGGTTTCTTTGGCGTCTCCACCTAACGATATCATGTACTCTACACAAGTATCTCATTTGTGCTCGGTTTTCAGCTCGTCTTCCACATCATCCAACCATCTCGTCCTGGGCCTTCCTTTTTTCCACCTTCCTACCGGCTTCCACTGTAACATATTCTTTGTCGATTTATGTCATCTTGTCGCTGAACATGTCCCATCCATGACGGTCGTCGATTTTTCACAAATCGTACAATATCTACCCTTCATTCAGTTTATTAACCTCGTCGTTTGTCCTAATTAACGCGACTAGGGCAATGAAGAATAATAAGTCACCAAGGACAGATAGTACTACAGTGTAACCATCAAACATCCATCAAAAACGGTGGATGTTAATAGATAACAAAATACCTACCTGCGAATGTTGGGAGCCAATGTAGAACATTAAAATTTACATTTTTCTTTGGGAGCCAATTGTTAGACCTCATTTAGAACCTTAGCTGGCCCCCGAACTCTATAAAACCACTTTAATCTCACACGAATTGGCCTCCAAACCCATACATGAACTGGCTCCCGCCAATAAAAAAGTTACCAGAAATTGAATGTTCTTCTGAAATTTGGATTTTGAGGAAAAGAGGTATAATATTATACATTATAAATTAAAAACGTAGTAGTAAATAATTTATTTGTAAAACTACAACACATCTTTTTAACTTCCACTATATAAAAGTGCCGCAATACCAAAGGAATGTCTTAACTTAGAATTCATAACTATATTAGCTTAATGAGTCACTAACTAAAAATGTTCTTAAAAATCATACAGAATTGAATTTATAAAAAATGTGAAATAGACATAAGTGATTCTCAGTTTGGATTTAGAAAAGCCTTCAGAATAAGAGAGGCGTTGTTTGCGACTCAAACAATCATTCAAAATGCTTCAATCGCCAAAAAAGAGTATATTTCTATTTCATCGACTACAGAAGGCTTTTGATAGAGTACAGCGTGAAACATCGTTGTATAAACTACAACAATTTACATGAAAAGACTTCTGGAAAGGTGTCTCAGGTCCCAGGTGTGTTGGATTAGGATGATTACGCCTCACTGTAGTTGACCGAGTACCAACTAAACTCACCTCCTCTTTCTCCAACCGATGCCTGGGACCACTTTTAGCGAGCATTACCGTCTGACCCATCAGCTCTACTCTGTATAGCTCTATAACTATACAACTTTATTTTTATAATAACGACAATTCCTTTGATAACTCCCATCTGTCTGCGCTCCGTGATTACCATACAAAAATGTGAAATAGACATAAGTGATTCTCAGTTTGGATTTAGAAAAGCCTTCAGAATAAGAGAGGCGTTGTTTGCGACTCAAACAATCATTCAAAATGCTTCAATCGCCAGAAAAAAGTATATTTCTATTTCATCGACTACAGAAGGCTTTTGATAGAGTACAGCGTGAAACATCGTTGTATAAACTACAGAAAATGAAACTATAATAGACTGTACTATAACTATAAATCAGGTGTTCGATGAGGCTGTGGCATGTCTCTATTGCTCTTTAACTTGAGCTTCCAGACAACCAATGGTCATGGATGTATAACTGTTTGTTTTATTAACCGAGATATTTGCACAGCAGAGCAGTTGTTAAAAAAGAATATTATGCAAAAACAACAATTTACATTATATATCATTGCAAAATATTCTGATTATGACAATTAAATCAAAATATTGAAATCACTTGTATGGACCATGTGGGAATGAATTTGATGTTAGAATTGATATTGATACAAAAATAAACAGTAAATATATTAACAATATCAAGTATGCCGACGATAGAGGTTAGAATATTAATAAAGCTTATATTATTCTTGAAAAAAAATTCAAATAAGCACTAGACGGCGCCGAAATTGATATAAAAATAAACAATAAATATATAAACAATATCAAGTAGGCAGACGATACCGTTCTGATAGAAATACTGCAGACAAAAAGGATGTTATAAACAGCAGAGATAAAAACACTTAAAATAATTGAGAGGAAAACACTGTGGGACAAAGCTAGAAGTACAGGTATACGACGTAGATGCAAGGTGGAGAACATCAAGGACTAGGTAAGAAATAGAAGGGGAGAATATAATGATCATATAAGCCGAATGACAACAAATATAGTAGTAAAGACGGTTCCCCAATAAGAAGACGATTACTACGAAGACAAAGAAAACGAAGAAAGGACAACTTACTGGAGGCACATTGAAAAATAGACAGAGCCATGTCTACATAAAAAGAAGAAGAAGATGACACTATAAATAGTCACAGTAATATACAGAGTTATACACATAGTTAATAATGCAAGTGACGCAATGGGACTGTGTGTGACAATAAATCTTCAAAAAACTAAAGTAATTGTGATAAGCAAAGCCGATGAAAATTGTCGCATTTGACCTAAGTAACACTCAATTATAACAAGTTGACAAATTCATATACTTAGGAATACTACTAAACGATAAGTAGTATCCAGATATAGAAATAAAAACAGAAATAGAAATATCTATAGTCTAGAAACATGTAGAATAAATGATATCCGAATTGCAGTTATTAAATGCTACGTTTGGTAAGTCCTTATGTATGGAGTCCAAGCCTGGCCATCCACTCCAAAAAAATTCATCGTCTATCTATCTAAATTTCATCGGGAGCCAATTCACGCAAACCCTTTTATCGGTAGAGAGCTTATTAACTGTAAGCGGGAGCAAAGATATTAACTAATTATATTTTATTTTACATAAATAAATATAAAATTGAAATTTGATATTAAATGAAAATTAACAGAGAACAAACATTGCCTATAGCTTCACAAAAAAAATTAAAATACACTTATGGCTTCTGATGTTGTCTTCAAGTAGTAGACAGGATTGCAGAATCTAGTGTTTAGTTACTGATGTAGCTAAATCTAGATACTTTCATGTTTGTATCTTTAGGTGATTAGTGGATTTGGAATTGCAGTTGCAGTTGTTATTGCATGGTCGATCATGTACTGTGAAAATTGTTTAACGAGGATTAGGAAGTTTCACCCTTGTGGTTTCTATACATCTCACCAAAAGGGGACAACAAAAAGTAATAAAGCCAATAAACTAAAGCAAAATAAAGCAGAAAGACGGTTTTAGATTTAATTTTAATGCACGGCATCTGCCATCCCCTTATACGTATTTCAACCTATTAGGTATTATTAGAGCCTCTGCATATGAAGCTAAAAATAACGTAAAACAAGATCGAAATTATATGATCCATCTGATAAATGGCATACACAGTGAATAAGTAAAAAGTTATAACCCATTAAAATGATGGTATTCGTAAAATACCGCCATTAAAAAGTGGAGGGGAGAACTCTCCGCTGCAATACATCTGCATGTTTTTTGGTATTGGTCACATGTTTTTTGAAAAGTATGATTTTTCTTCAGCCTTTCATTGAGCCTACCTACTGACATAAAAAAAATATCAAAGTTATTATAAATAGTTTAGAACTTATTTTATCGTATGTAACTTGTCTACGCAATATTGATAAAAACAAAGTCAAAATTACTTATTTTCTTCAATCTTATTTATGAACCTTTTAACTCCGTGAAGGAGGAGCCTAAGAAAATGCACACAATACTTGAATTATAAAAATAATAAATTAATACTATTAACTATTTTTCGTTCTTAGAGAATATAATTTAATATTTTTTCAAAAAACAAAAACATTGATAAAATCTAGAGTTAGAGAATTATCGTGGCAAGCTTATCAGGAATTACCATTTAAATTTTATTGTAATATAATCTATCGAGCAGGTGCCTAACTCAGCTTACCTTGCTTAAGTATTCCTTAATATATAAATCATTTCCAATAATATAGTTTTATCATAATTTGATTGTTTCACTAAAATGTGTACATTTTCAAAATAAAAACTATGGTTATTTCGAGTTTGTTTAGTTAAGCTATTGTCGAGCTATGTTTAGTTATGCCTGTAATTTTAAATATGTCATGTTGTTTTTCTATTATTTGTTTTTCTTTTATCTTTCTATTTCTGCA